TAACTAAAGTTATTGGATAAACATTTTTAAAGCTTCAGGGAACTGACAAGAATAATTAGTTATCAGGCCCAAATCTAAGGGAGGGAAGAACCTCAGAGAGAGAAACAGGATTCATTGAAGTCATGTTTGCCTTGAAAATAAATTTCAGCCTGTGGGATGACGGAACTCAAATTCAAGTCCAAGGCTGGGCCAAGGTGGAGAATCTAAAAAGGAAACTGCTGATACACCGAGGTAGGCTCCCAGGTGGCTAAACCCTTAGGGCGAGAGTGAACCAGAAGCAGAATCCATCTGCCCTTGGCCTTCAGGGGTCAAAAGAAGAGTTGCCCTTGGATTGAGCAGTGGAGCACGGTGGGGATGGCCCCTGAGAGGTTGAAGCCACAGGTCAGTTTGCAGTTCAAGTTGATACTACCTTAAGAGTGTCTCCGGCACTCCCTCACATCAAGTGAAGTAGACCTGCTTCACTGGGCGTGTTCCTGTGCAGCCGACCAGGAACAAATGCAGATTCTCTCTGGAGGATTATGCTTTCTTGACTTCTGAGAATCTCCACAAATAGTTTTCTAGTATAATACAATATAATGGAATACAAAATAACTAAACAGAAAAGAAAAGGCATTGTGAGTGAGAATCAGCGGAATGGCAGACACTGGATAGGCCTGCAAAGATGAGCGATACTGGGATTATCAGGTTTAGATTTTAAAGGTTAGGCTTTCAGACTGGGCACAGTGTCCCACGCCTATAATCCTAGCATTTTGGGAGGCCAAGGAGGGTGGATCACAAGGTCAGGAGACAGAGACCATTCTGGCTAACACGGTGAAACCCCATCTCTATTGAAAATACAAAAAAAAAAAATTAGCCAGATGCAGTGGCATGCGTGTGTAGTCCTAGCTACTCGGGAGGCTGAAGCAGGAGAATCGCTTGAACCCACGAGGCGGAAGTTGCAGTGAGCCGAGATCACACCACTGCACTCCAGCCTGGGTGACAGAGCGAGACTCCGTTAAAAAAAAAAAAAAAGAAGTTATGCTGTCTATTTTAAGGAAATAAAAGAGAAGATTGAGAATATCTGAATATCTGTAATCAGGAAACTATGTATAGAAAGAATATAGAGAACTTTTAGAAAAGTCTGATTACCCAAGTTGGGGGAAACAAACCAAACTTATGAGTGGGCTTTAATATCACACAATTGAGGAGAAAATGAGGGAAGTGGAGGCAAAATCAGAAGACATCCTGCACATGACATGGGATGACAAGATGACACGTGGAGGACATGGTGACAGGGCCCGATAGGTGGTTACTGACTGTCAGACAGAAAATTGAGCAGAGTCAATATTTGAAGACGGAATAGTTTTTAAGAACTTACTAATGACACTGATGCATTTATGTAGAAAGTCTAATCCCAATCAAGGATGAGAAAAGGAACCAAGTCTGGTCTGCATAATGCCAGTGACCAAGAGGTCTTTCAGGCAGCCACAGGAAAAGACAGATTGCCTTCAGAGGTGGAGCGGCGCGCTTGCCAGTGGCAGCAGTGAGGCCGGGAGCCAGCAGGTGTCGTCGTCGTGCCAGGGAAAGGAAGTTGCTGCCAGCCTGGGGCTCTGCGGCTCTTGGAAATATCTTAAAGAACAAGGGAGGCCGGGTGTGGTGGCT